ATATTAAAAAACCTTCACTAGATTAAGCAAATATAAAAGATCCAAACACAAATCATAAGAAAAGGGTTTGAAAGGAGCAAGGTCTAATCAAAATTTAGGTTATTTTTGGCATAAAATTATATATACAGCCCTTAAAACGTACCCAGGTCGACCCAAAACAAATCGGGTCGGACCCGGGTCAAACCAGAAAAGTCAACGAAAACTCATTAAAAGTCAACTACACTCCACTCGGTGTCGCTCCAATCGGTCAAGAAGCAAGTGAGATTTATGCTGCAAAAACCAAAATCATTTTGGTAGCTTCACTTGGGATCATTTCACTCGGTGATGACCAAGTGATCATGCACTCGGGTTGCTCCACTCGGTGTAGATCAATTATGAATGCACCTTCGACCAAATCTTCATTTTCTTGCTTGTTGAAACATGCTTCCAACTTCCTTGCATCTCTTTAGCATCCCCTTCATCCTCTTAGCTCCAAGAACTTCGAAAGTACCTAAATCAAACCAAAACAAAGACCAAAATGCACAAATACATGTCCTAACTCTACAATGCATCTAATTACTAAAATGAGAATGAAATGATCAAAATGTAATGCAAATGTTATAAATTCATGGATAAGAGGTGAAAAAAGTATGGGTTTTATGGTGTAAAAACACCAAATATCATGCATTACTCCTTTTTATTGGTTTTCTCTTCTTACTAACATTCCACCCACTTTTAAGGCTACAAAATTCTCAGGTATAATTATGATTCCAAAATAATTCCTTGAAAATGGCGAAACTAGGACTTTGAACATAGACGGATCTTGTATGGTTAACTCATCCAAATACAAGATTTTATTTGATGTTATGATGATAAGCCTTAGAGCTAGGGTCTATGTTCGAAAAAAGGTGGGGAAGGAGGTTAAACATGAGCTGGAAGTTTCACAGGAAAATACTTAAAAAGCTGATAATTAGTTTGATCCATTGCAAGATCCGTCGCCATTTCCATGGGAAAACGATCAATTTGGACCTATCATTTCCATGGGAAAACGATCAATTTGGATCTATACAATTTGCGTCGTGCTATTTTAGACCTGAATTTTTGTCTATGGCTAATTTAAACATGAATTCCAAATAAATTCAAATCTTATACCTGAATTTATATATTTTGTCCTGAATTGTACCTTGACCAAGATTCTGTTAGTCAACATTAATGGAATATTGACTAAAACGACATGTGGGTTAGCTGGTTCGGTTTTGTTAGCTCAAAACGACGTCGTTTCATTGTTTTAGTAAAACGATGTCGTTTTCATTTAGGGATAACTTGAAATCGAATCCCTAATTCGATAAATAACGTCGTTTTCATTTGAAGATTTATCAAC